CCGCCACGTCCTTCAAACATGTCGTGAGCATCAGGAGCTTTGCAAATTCCCTAAAATTGCTTATCATCAAAATCTCCTCTCAATGCTTCCACACCCCAACTCATACAACCCGGCTTCTTATATTTTCATTGTTATTATTTATTAAATGGTCAAAGAGAATGAAAAATTAACAAACATCAATGCTCGAACATCACTACGTCCTATAAAACTCTACCCCCTGGATGCCTGTTGTCCTGGCTTCTATCTACTCATGTAAATAAATATACTTCCTTTTATGCTTACTAGAATTGAGTTGATTGCTTCAATATGAAAATTGTCTATGACACATAATTCCATTGATTTTTAACAAAACCTGAAGCTTCTAAATTTCTTCAAAATCTGAACTTTCTGCAACGTTCAAAAGCTAGAAAACCAGACGATAGCAATAAAAGACGGAACACGGTATCCTACAACAGTACGGTATTCCACAACCATGTGTCAGATGAATCACAAAACCCATCAGTAGTCAGCTGATGTTCAATGATATATATAGTGAATTTCAAACAAAAAAAAGGGAGGTATTAATGCGCCATGAGTTTCCATCCATAAGAAACGTACGAAGCCTACAGCTTTGCAATAGCATGACGACCATACGGAAAGAAAATAAAAATAGAAATCCATATCTCAAGTCTCTGGCTTGGAAAGAACACGGACATTATTAACCAGCCTCATGACCACGGCCGTATCCTGCAAAATACCGAAAACCCCTTTTATTCATCCTCCGAATGTAATGCTTCCTTCAATGAGAACACACCATCAGCAATCTTGATGTTCAGATCAGACTGATGGCATGGCATGATGTCCTTCAAATTCATTTCTTTCAGGCTTAAGCATATATAACCCAAATAAACCCGTTCAACCCTACCGGCAACCATAATCATGTAGGATAAACTAATTAAAAACAAATAATACCACCCAACATACATAACAACATTACAGTAGAATTAGGATTTAAACCCAGTGGTTTCTTATTATTATCTGACTGCTTCATTTGTGGAAGCAAGAAAAGTTAAAACCATCTTTAGATCTAATGCACAAAGCAGCATGCGGGTTCAAGGATCTCAAACCATCGTAACACTCCAATCAAAACAGTTCCTCCAAACAAACAAATAAACTATATGTTTTTAACCCGCATTCTCAGTTAAAATTTTCCGACACGAGGAACATAATAGAGCCAAAACCAATCGCCACAAACAGTTTCTCCAAAGTAAATTTTGTCATCCTCATCTGCCATTTGAAAATTTTCATACACGGAGGACAAGATACATTCTCAAATTAATTAATCGAGTAAACAATTAAATATTAAAAATAAAAAAGAATTACAAACGCAACGGTTAATCAAAAAAAGAAATAAAGAATCTTCAATCAAGCACAAAATCGATGCCAACTAACAGCTTCCTAAATCAAAAATGAAGGCCCCACATTTGTACAGAAGTACTCTTAATTCTTGCATAATCGCCAGTTGATATGCATCCACAACGTAAACCAGTATTGCTTTGCACAGCAAGGAATGTTCACCCTCAGGAAATAATGAATTGGAACATGACAAGACTCAAAAGACTCTGGTGGCTAAGCAGCTGCTCCCTCCAGTGGCTGATTTTTTCATGAGAAATCCTCAATCATTATTGATCATTCCCAGTTTCAGATGTAAAACAATGGTTGTGCTGGGAACAGAAGAAAATTGAACTTTCAACACGTATGAAATAGAAACTTTCTTTAGTTATAAGAAGAAAACGAAATTGGCACATGAGATTTTGAACTAAATGAGACCTTTCCAAATAAACCGCTGAAAGCATTCAAGACCTAACCCAACTCTTCATGCAATCAGGATAAGAAATGCGCAAGGTTACAGAAAGCGCCAGGCGGCCTAAGCGCTGGACCCCGTGCCTAGAGCCTAGGCGGGAGCCTAGACGGGGCTTAGGCAGTTTTCCTATTTTAAACACATCAGTTTACCTCTTTGTCTGGATGGTTTATGGGTCCCAAAGGATTTTGATATTCATTCTTGGTTGTACTTGTATGAGTTTTAAGTTTCATGACCGCAAAAGGCAGTCTGCATACATAGGAACAGGCTTTAAGATTCTGTGGCTAGGTCCTAGATGCCAAGGCTTTTGCAATAACTGAAAAGGGAGTGATACGAAGATGAGAGAGCTCAATTTTGGAGAGGTATCTTGACATCTAGATCCACATCAAACCCATTTGATAGGAACTGATCTGGATAATGCTGAAGAAGGCATAGAGCTGATTAGTGTAGAAGAACCAAGATGAGCTTCCTATACACTCTACAATCAGCAATCCCCCCCCCCCAAAAAAAAAAAAATTCACTTGAAAAGAAGAAAGGAAAAAAAAAGAAAAAAAAAGATGAGAAATATAAAAACCTAAGAACACCCAGTAGGCCTGCAAAAAAATAAAGAAAATAGACAACTTTTTTTCCTGAGGAAAACAATTTGAGCAACCAAACATCCCAGTTTCTCATCGATACTCAGACTCATATCAAACAGGCTATCAAAAGACCTCTAGAAAAATAAATAAAGCAAAAAGGTTAAGCAAATAAATAGTTAACAAGAATAAAACCTGTTTATCAAGAAGGGCGTTGCTCGAATTGTAGATCTTTTCTTAGGGAGCTAACAATATCAAGGTTTCTTGACACTTCCCACCCCCTAGGATAAAAAAGATGCCTCGATTCAAGATGGAGATGCCAATTCATAATTTTTGAGCAATTATGGGGTATGCCTTCCATTTGAAATTCATCTTCAACAATCTGTTCTATAAACGTTGTCTCCTGTATGTAGTTAAACAGTTAGATTAGACAGCACAAGAGGAAATAGCACATGGTGAAAAAAGCAAAACTGAAACAACATCAACAATAATCAATGGGAGATGAAATGCTGCTATCACAGGTTCACAACAGTACATTATTTTCAATTAGCGAAAACTGGTACTGTATAGGTTTTACTTTTCTTTTAAATTACTTACTGAACCCCATTCCAAATCAATGTAATTGTCATCTATTTCCATGTTACTTTAGGATATTGGTATAATGTTCATTCATATTTTATATAGCATCCTTAAATCTCAATATACAAGCACTACTATGATGCTGCAAAATTAAAGCGCACAACAAACTAATGAACAATAGAAGCAACTTTTCCATTGTGATGGAAGAGAGGCTTGAACAAATGTTAGATTACTAAGAAGAAAACCCTTTCCTCTGTATACTGGAATTACTAGAGATAGGTAGGCAGAAGTTGGGAGCGTGAAAGTCAGAGACAGAGGCTGTTGCTAGTGATGAGAAGTGGGGGAGGAGAGGCAGATACCTCCAGTGGTGTGAAAGAAGAGAAATTTGAGAGGAGAAGACAAACCCGTCAGGAAGAAAGAAGTAGGAGTTTCACGTCTGTCTTTAGATGTTAATCACTATTAGAGAAACCACCCGGAAGAGTGTCTGTCTTTAGATATTAATCACAATTAGAGAAATCAAACTTTCGGAATTAATTAGACATACATAGCTAATCCAACTTTGCAGATCCACCGATACATTATTTTGATGCAAGTGTTTACGCATGTATAGGAAAATGGAAGAACAATGGTCATATTAGGAAATTTCCCATTACGCAACCCTCAAATCTCCATGATTTTAACCTTTATTGCATAAGACTGTTCATCATACTCTCCACGTTTGAGACCATACCCGGATCTGAAATATAGAGACCATTTACCCATAGATCGAACAGTAACAAAAATTTTATTGTTGAATTTGTTTATTTTGCAACTGATGTGTGGATGGATTAATCGTCTCTAAGCTCCACTACTTTTCATCCATGTACCTTACCTTAAGAGCGCTTTTAATTGTATGAAACATCAATTCAAGGTGGGAAGCTTACATTGTAAGATATTTCCTCCAATAACCACTGATCACCATTCTTCACTGAATGCATTTATATATATCCATGTATGTGCAGGAAAATGGTCCTTTGAGGTTGGTTCTCAAACCGAGGCTCACAAGAATTTTGTTATGGGCCATTCGATGGATAATCCTCAACGTTCATATTACTCTCACACCTTAAATGGCCTAATGATGAGAGATCAAGTGATTTGAAGGGGGAGAAAATACCTATAAAACAGGGTTTTGATAATTTAATTAGATTGTTTATAAAATTCATCCTGATTGATATTGATACATGAGAAAAAGTTCTGAGATTGCTTAATTTCACCTCAATATACTATTTAAGATACACATATAAAGATAAGTGGCATACGTCATCCACAGGATGGCTTAACAAAAAGTTCTTATGAACTTTAGTTTAAGATCTGACCTTAAGAAAAACGCACATAAAAAGCATGGCTGCATTTTCCTCAAAATGACCCTAAAAGTGATTAGACAGGAGTGAAGTAGGTAACATGGATCCGAATAACGCCACTTGCATATGTAACGCCATATGCACGTCTTCTTGAGTCCTAATCCATGCAACCAAATTCTCAAAGAAAACAAAGAATCAACCAGAGGCCCATTGCGCTCTATAGAACGCATGCCCATTAAAGAAGATGGACTAGGCTAATCTACTTGGACCAAACTGACTCAAAACGATTAGTCCTATTTGTGTTGTGAGTCCAATATTCAACCATGTATGCATCTAATTCTTTTTCCAAAGTGGAAGAAAATTCCAACTCATGTATTTTTATTAAACAACCCGACACTTAAATTTAATGGATTTGAGACACCCCTAACAAATTTCTTACTTGGTACGTGTAGATGACTATATCACGATAATACTAAAATGAGCTCTCTTTATAGAATAATCTAGAGGCCGTTGAATCGCAATAAGAAAAATATCTAAGCCATAACATTAGAACTTTCAGCTTCAATCTTTTTAATCCGCATAATTACACTTTTTCTATATGTTTCCACTTTCTTGTAAGCCAGAATCTTTCTTCAACAAGCCCTTGAAATGATCAAATTTGCATTTGCTATGCACTTCATACTGAAGAAATAATACCAATTTGTACAATATAATTATATTAAAATGTCAAGGCATCATAAGGAGTATTTATCAATGTTTGAAAAAGCTTTTTGAAACTCACTTCGAAACTTGCTTCACAACTTATTGAAGGGTAAACACGTCAAAACTCAAGAGTAAAGCTATTTATCCCTTGAAGCTTACGCCTCATTGCATAAAGCATAATAGCATAATTGAAGTGTGCGTTTTGCGCTTTATAGGGCGCTTTTATTTTGAAGCACACTTAAGACAAGATAGCAGGACATAAAATGATCTTTGACCAACATTGAAATGCCCTATATATTTTCAATATGAGTATGTGAGTATAAATAAAATATATGTGTTATGCATGTAGCTTAGTTTATTATGATTCATTTCTATACTTGACATATTTAATACTTACTAATCAGGACATGAATGTATATAACTATATATTTGTAACTATTACGCCACTATATATTATATTTTCATAATTTTTACAAATTTAAAAATAATATTTTTTAAACTCATGAAGCTTGTGCTTCACGCGATGAAGCTTACGCCTCGCTTCATCAAAGGGTCTAGCACTTCGCCTTGCGCTTCCACTTTTTTAAACATTGGTATTTACAACTCTTTTAGGTTCAACCAATTTTTTTTCTGTTCCTACCTTCCTCCGACTATCTTCATACATAGATCTTGTCACAAAAAGGCATTACAATTATTAAATCTGAACCTCTATGATGTGCATAGAAAGAAGTAACACCAATCTGTATTAGACACAATTTTAACTTATGACTCTTTCAAGTCCAACCTATCATATAAATTGGAACTAGTGTGCTTTGTAATAATGAATTTTTCTCCCTCCATGAATATCTTCCGATGTTCTCATATCATTCAATGTTTCCAACACGGCATTGCATAGAATAAGGGTAAATAAATTTTTAGTTCATTGGTTTTATTTATTTTTCTATCCAAAACATAACCAACTATTTACAAGGAATCCATTTTGGGACAAGTTTCCATCACCAAATGAAGTCAAAAGAAGTATATCATGTATAAACTAATACCCTCATTTCTGATTTACAAGGAATCCATTTTGTGACAGGTTTCCATCGCTAAATGAAATCAAAAGAAGTATATAATGTATAAACTAATACCCTCTTTTCTGATTTACAAGGATTCCATTTTGTAACAAGTTTCCATCACTAATACCCTCTTTCTGATTTGCAAGTAATCCAGTTTGTCACAAGTTTCCATCACTAGATGAAATAAAAAAAAAGTATATCATGCATAACTAATATATCAAAGCTAAAGGAAATGAGGAGTACTTGAAATCCTTCTTTTACTGTGTCCAGTTGTCTGATTGCATCTGATGTTGGACGCTGCCACCTCTTTGGGTCCCAAAGTATGGTGCTGTTGAATGCGAAGCCTGACATATCAACATGAAACCTTCTAAGTCTCTTACTTTTTTCATTCGTATGCCACCCAATCACCTGGCTTCCATTGCATACTGGACCTTCAAGTGTTGCCTTGTTTTTGCTTTGTGCAAGCATGGCAACAGCCCAAGCGCCAAATCTCCTGCCAAATATAATATGAAATTGCATCAACAATTTGAGAAGAAAAGTGCATACATAAAAGCAGAGATTCAAAAGATTCTTGAATGATAGTACCAATCTGAAGATAGTGTGAAATAAATAATGGATATGACTAAGCAACTAAAGTTATTGCCTGGCTGCAGAAGACTGCAAACCTATAGTTCCCATCATGGATTGAACCATGTGTGTATCTTATGTTCGTCGATGTGATTAATCTTTAAACAAATTGTGGAAAGAACACCGCATTTATTTAGTCCCATCGTCCTCTGTTAACATTCTTTTGGTCCACACTCTTAGTACACAAGATCAGCCATGTCTCTGCTATTCTCTCAATACGGAATGTATATAGATATACTAAAGCTAGACTAAGCTTCGTGCAAGCTTGAAACATGGCTTATGTCTGTTAATGAAAAATTCACGAGGTTCACATCCACAACTAGCATTCCTCTCATCTTTCTAAAAAGTGGCGATAGAAGCTCACTCCCAGCATTTGATACAATCTCTTAAACTTTGAAGAATCAATATATTCCCTCTTTACCCTTTTACCGATCAGGTCTCTATCTGGTGAGACAACTCCACCAAGCATACCTTACTGCCTGAGTCCATTTCTGATTTGAAAAGTTACATAGCACCGTGTTCCTCACAACAGGATGACCGGCACTAATAGTTGCCCCTAACGAGTATATGTATGTATTCCAAAAGAATTTAGGACCGCTCTCGCCTATCTTAAATAAAAGAAGAGGTGGTGTTAGGAGTAGCAGTGGGAGGGCACCTGATGCTCCTGAGGTGGTGGAACAACTGGAGGGAATAGATGTTGTCGTCATCAGCGAAGTAGACGATGCCATCAAGAAGATGGCGTCGGATGTGATGGAGGGCGGTGTTCCTCTGATGGACCCCTCTGTCCTTGGTGTCCTCCGTACTACAACCCTCCTCCTCCTCCTCCTCCTCATTCTTATTATTATTGCTATTCTTCTTCTTCTTCTTCCTCTTCGCCGTGTCGCAGCAGACGAGATGCCTGTACATGACCCCAGACCTCCTCAGTAAGTCGGCAGTCTCCATGGAAGCGGATTCCATCTCCACAACGATCCAGAGAAGAGGAGGAGGAACCAGCCTCAGCGTCTGCCCTAGCCTTGTCAAGTAGTAGGCCTGAAGACCGCGGTTGTAGGTGGG